TAAGCAGTCACTTACCTCCCGTTGCCTTGGGCCAGTTCTTCACCAGCACCAGAGCACCCTCAGCATGATGCTGCCCCCACCATGTCTGACATGCTGACTGATTCAAACATACTCCTGATCATTGTGATACAGTAGCTTAATCTCTGTTAATCTGACTACAAAGCTTTCCTGCTGCGGCTTTTGGCTCGTCCACACAGCCAGGCTGTGGGTTTCAGTTGCGCCTGAAGGTGACAATTACAGAGCGGGCACTTCTTTGGTGGTCAGGACTTTCTCAGTTAAACTCGCTTCACTGTGGACGGCGGTCCAGTTAATGCTGGATTTGTTCTTAAAACATCACAACAAATTTCCTGTGAAGGTTTGGGTCCGAAGGGTGGGACTTTGAGCCAGTTGGAGGTTTTTTCCAAACAGACGATAATCCCAAACACATGCTGCTTTTTTTTTTTTTTTTCCTTCAGAAAGGATAAAGGAGGCAACATAAAAAATCTGGAACACCCTCCTCAACATAAACGCTGCTCAAAATTTATGGACTACAGTTTAAAGCCTATTCTGTGGTAGGAAGCCAGCCAGTTTAAAGGAGCTCTATCAGTTCTGTCAAGAAGAATGGCTGAAAATACAGCCAGGAACTTAAAATCTACAAAAACCAGTGGGTTACGTGCAACTAGCTAATCCACACTGCAAATCCTCAGAGGTTAATATCTCAAGTAACTTTTCAGGAAGATATATGAGCTTGTTTTAAGTCAATAACTGCTTAATGTTGATGATAAAGTTCTTTCATTGGAAAATTATTTCACTTATGACATGGGAAAAACGTCGTGTTGATAAGCGAAATAATCTACAAATGGAACTAGAACTTTTTCATCAATTTTAAGGAATTATTGACTTAAAACAAGCTCATATCTATTGCTGAAAAGTTACTTGTAAGTTAGTTTTTCTTATTTAAAATGCACTAAGATATTTGCACTAGAAACTAAACCTAAAATACTTGGTAAGATTTTGTGTTTTTGCAGTGCAAACATCAAAGGATCAGTATATGCTTGTATGCTTCATTTTAATTCTGTTTTGAACTTGAAATTTCAAACTTGTTTTTAACAATCGCTGTTTTTTTGTACGTTATACAAAAAAAAAAACCATATTCAATGCATCTTTAAAAGCCAAACATGACTTCAATACAGTGATGATGAATGCGCAACCTTGTGTCAAAATTTCACGCTTATGTTGCATTTTCACATATTTTTGTGGTTCATCCTCTTGACTCAACAGCTTATGCATTATGCATTATGCATTATGCACGGCGTCAACAATTAATTTTTCACCTCACCTTCGAGGTCATGATGTGAAATTCCGCCAGAATATTAAATCCGAATCCATCACAGCGTCGTTTGAAAGTGAAATCGCCCCCAGGTGTGGAGGTGGTGTACAGCAGGCTCACCTGGCACATGATTTCCTTCAGCATGTCCTCACACAAGTCGTAGCCCGCCGTCTCCAGCTGCTCGATTACGTCCCAGTATCTCTCCGCGATCACGTTGTCCGTCCTCTGGTCGCAGCAGCCGAACTGCTCGTACTGGGAGCAGAACTCCAGGTGCCACTGCGGCTTGAAAGGGGGCTCGAAGTCCAGGCACTGAGGGTGAGCTGATGCTGGCTGGATGGCGGCAGACAACATCACTGAGATGATAATGATGATGAAGATGATGATGTTGATGAAGATGATATCTGGTGCGCCGCGTGCCTGCTTTGGCGAAGCACGCGCCGCCGCTACCGCCGTGCGTAAAAGCGCGCAAACGGCACCGCTCGGTCGGAGAGCATCCCTCTGCTTGCTCGTCATCGTTACCATCTGACTCCCTGAGGCTCCTTTACCACTGGCTGCCAGTTTATATATGCGGCCGGCCTCGTGAGGTCGTGCACGTGCGAGCACGCGCGCGCTCAAAAGAATGCACACAACTTTTTGTGGCGGTTTTTTGTTGTTTTTTTTTATTTTAACTCCAATTACGTTTCCAACCAGGCTTATTAGTAGTTCAATTAGCAGAAAACAAAAGCAACCAAATAAAATTTATATTTTAATGTTATTCCAAACTTATTTGTGTGGTTTCTGCACCGCAGCAAAAGTTGGCAGAGCTTTTACGCATACTTGTCCAAAAGGGGGGGCAAGAACACACACACACACACACATACAGGGCACGGTGTCGAGGCATGCACACAAAAAAGGGTCAAAGCAGCACAAACTGCAATTATGTTGCACATCTATGTAAAGCGCCGCCGGGCAGAGCTGGATGCCCCCACAATGTATAAACTGTTCCAGCATGTCAGGAGATATTTGAAAATAAAGTCTAGTCAGGTGTGGATTACACAGGTTTGAGCTGCTTCCAAGAAAAATTACTGCTGAGAGGAAATGTAGGAGCAGTGACAGACCAGACCATGCAAGAAAAAAAAGAAGAAAAGGCCCACCTTGGTGATTGATAGATATAAACAGATTAGTGGTTATGAAACTTCGTCTGGCCTGAACTGTCTTTCATATATAAGCTGTGTTCCCCTTTGGTGTTCTTATGGACATGAAAATACACTGTAAAAACACAAAATTCACCATCACACAGTTTTTAAACTCAATCCCACAGAAAGTTTCTAGTCAGAACTTTAAAAAGGTTTGTGATTACAGAGAGACCAACAAACCTCGTCTCTGTTAAACTGTGAAAACACAAAATCTTACCAGGTGTTTCAGGTCCAGTTTCTAGTGCAAATGTCTCGAAATCAGACAAAAAGTACTTACAAGAAACTTTACAGAAAGAAATAGAGGCTTGTTTTAAGTTGATAATCTAGTTTTAGTTCCACTGGCAGATTATTTGACTTATAATATGGGAAATATGTTTTGTTGTCAGTGAAATAATCTGTCAATTGAACAAGCATTTTATCATCAATTTTGAGGAATTATTGACTTAAAAGATCATAAATCATGCTGAAAAGTTACCTGTGAGCTAGTTTTACTTATTTCAAGTGTACTAAGATGTTAGTATTAAAAATTAAATCTAAAATAATTGGTAAGACTTTGTGATGCCTGCAGCTTTTTTGTTTTTTTAATGCCTGCAACTTGTGGTGCCCTGCTGTGGTGGGGCCACTCTGGGCAGAAAGCCATATCTCTCATATTTAAAAGCACCACCATGGATTGCAAGTTTACAGTTCCAATTTTGTTTGTTGGCATCTCAAAATATAGTTTCCAGGTTCTCTTGAGACCTACTTTTTATTATTTTTCCACATTACTTTATGCATTTCTGTTGGCTGAAATGTCCAGCTGTGAGTAAACAAACGGAAAATCCAAAACAAAAATGTATGGATTTATTCATGCCTGATCAGAAAAATAAGTGAACTTTGATAGGGACCGGCCGGTTGGAGGAAGCTTACCTGACGATCTGCTCCAGGATGTTGAAAGGACCTAAAATTGGCTGCCTGCTGTTTGAGCTTTTAAAGAATTTGGGGAGAAGAATGGAAGAAAACACCCCAAATCCAGATATACCAAACTTGTAAAGGTATGAAGTCTACTTGCAAATAAACCAAAGACATTTCAATAAAGCTCTTAGTAAAAGCTTATGTGCATTGCAAAATGTAAAAAAATAAAAAATAAATCATCTTGAAGAACACAGAAAATAAGTGTTGAACACATGAAGAGAAGGATATGAAAAAAGGCATAAAAACCCAAGAAACTGAAGAAGTTTAATATTTGATGACCTATAAAATCACCGTCTAAATAAAAAAATAAATAAAAACATTCTTTTCTCAGAAGCAGAGTTTTGTTTACTATGTTTAATAGGGAACAAAAGTTAAGTACACTATTTCCCCATTTGATCTGGGCTCAAAAATCGAAAATTGTGCATTTATCATAAATATTACATGTTGCATTTAGGAAGTCCATTGTGCACCGACCCGACCTAAAACGTCCTTTCTTTCTGCTCGCTTATCACGATACATTGTAGTGACAGTATCTGTTCTGCAGATGGCAGCAACGAATTCAATAGGTGCAGCAGGACAAGGAAGCGGAACTACGTCACTTTCTTCTGGTATTTGTTTTGGTCAGAACAAAAACGTTGAAACTTGCCGAAGAAATACATAAACATCCGCACGAGCTCTTCAATTTACAGCTCAGAAAGTCACATTTTTACCCAGTTTATTTCCAAAACTCTGAAACAGATAAGGAATCCTTATAATTATATATAAAATGATAAGCTAATATATTTTTCTTTATCTTTTAGCGTTAATGTGTTTTCCAACAAATACAGGTAAGGCAAAACTATTTCTTCCAGTGCTGTTCTTTGTTTTCAACACGGTTCTGGTGTTATATTTTCAACAACAAAAAATGTTCCATAAAACTTATCAGTGAACGTTATGAGATGAAAAGGGTCATAGTGAAGCTACTTGAGGTTTCTGTTCTCGTGTTTGTTTTTAATCTGAATCTAAATTGGAACCCACGTACGAATCGTACGTGGGTTCCAATTTAGTGGTACACAAATGCAATTTTGGCATTAGCTTGCTAAATACAAACAAACTATCTACTTGTGTGGTCGTTTCTGAAGTCAGAACGTTTAATCCACTCAGCCAGCTGTCAAGCAGTTTGCAGCAATAAGTAAATAAGGAGTATGTTACTCCTAGCAGTCAGAGGAAAGTTGGCTCACTCTTTTTGATATAGAAGGGATTCACTTTAAACTTTAAACAGTACAAAAATGTTTTTGATGATGCTTTATAATGGTGACTTTTGAAAGCTTTGGCACTTGTAGGTGGCCTATCTGCTTTTGTGTAAACGAAACACAATTATACATCATCCTTCTTAATAAAGCAGCATCAGTTTATACGTTTCTTTCTCGTTATTTATTTATTGTTTGTTTGTTTATTTACTTTTATCACAAAACACAAGAAAAAAACCAAAACGTCTGTCCTAATTGCGGAATCTGTACAAAAGAACCGCGAATATAAATCCATGTCGCGCCTTTATTTTGAAGGGTCGGATCCTGTTTCCGGTCAGATAGAAGCTAATCCTGGTTGTCTTGATGGGCGGCGTAGAGGCGCTGCCAAATCTGGCAGCAAAATAGATTTGCACCACCGCACCTCTGCTGCTACAGTCCTCCGTTATGGCACCTTAAGCGTGTAACGAACTCGACGTGAATTCATGCTCGGTAGCTGACTGTATCCTGTCTGTTTCCTACGGCTGAGCAAGACGCTGACCCCACCGGAGACACGAGCCGCGGTGCGGACGGGCTGAAGCCGCCACAATGAGCTCCGAACACCAGAGCGACAGCGAGGACGCCGACGAGTCGCAGGATAGGCCCGGCAGCACCGGCAAGAAAGAAGACCCCGTTGGAAGACCGACACAGTCGGAGGTGGAAGAAGACGCCCCGCAGAGGGTCTGTGCTTCGCCTCCGGGGAGCAGCAGCGAGGACCAGCCGGAGGGAAGCGCTGGTTCCTCTCCTCCCCGCCTGGAGGATGAAGAGCCCCGCAGCTCACCGGGCGCCGCTCCGCAGGCGGCGAGCGGTGGGAGCTCCAGTAGCGAAGGCTACAAGGGAAACAGCCTGTTTTCCTGGCTGCAGAGCAGGACTATCAGACGGGGGCTGTTTGTAGACCCAGCCAGGGATAACTTCAGGACAATGACCAGCTTGTACTGCTCTATGAACCCGGCTGTGGAGTCGGTCAATCTGAGCTCTCAGACCCACGGAGCTGTATTCAATCTGGAGTACTCACCGGACGGGTAAGTACTGAGATGTTTTAGGACGTGGTCGTAGACCTCGCAGGTTTCACTTGATTGCAATGGCACATGCAACAACTCTGTGCTTCACAATTTATACCTTTCATCTTTGGAAGTTTGATCTGAAGTTCACGTCACATGCGTGATGTAGTGCTGCGTGTCTTTAGAAAGCTCCCCACAGCAGTCACAGCTAATGAGGACAGTCGAGCGTCCTTGACTAGACACCAGATGCAGGACCTAAATCCTGCAGCCAAACCGGGTCAAGCTGTCTTGTCTGGGTCACGTTTGTTTGTGTGCACATGTGACAGCGGTAAGTCCTTCCTGCACACTGTTGGCCTCAGCTGTCTGAACATACGCAGGTGCGTCTCAGTAAGTTCGACTATGATCGAAATGAGTCAAACTCGAATATAGATTATTTGCACACAGAGTGCTTTACTTCTGTTCATTTCCACGATTATGGCTTGCAGCTCATGCTAACCCAAAATTAGATTTGGGGTAAAACGATTAACCGTGATAAATCGATTATTGAAATAATCGCCAACTAATTTGGTTGCTGAGTAATCGTTAACTGGTGTAGACACACTCCTAAAATTTCATTTGCTGCTGTACATAATATATATATTTTGGATTTTAAATGTAAAATCCTATTTGAATATAAATATTTTCTAACTGAACTCATCAAGTAGCATAGTTTTAGCTTTAAATTCTGTCAAAGTCTAATATTAAGCATCTTTTGCTGTGGAATTGTTGAAAACAGTCAACAAATCAGCCTATTCTGTACTGATAAGTAAAGCAGAAAGGAGTTAAGTATTTATTTAGATGCTGAACTGAATCCAGACTTGGTAAAACTCAGCAGACACAAAGTAGCAAATCACAACTAATTATGCAAACTGTACACTGAGGACTTTTTCCTTTCACTTAACTTTTTTAGCTTAAAATTGCAATATCAAAATCATTTGTAAGCGGTCTTACGCAAATAGAAGGTAAAAAATTAGTGAGTATCTCTGCCTGTAAACTATAATAGTCAAAATTAACAGGAATATGTGGTTGATTTATATCTTTCTGTGTGCAATTAATCTACAGTTATACTTTCTTATACTGAAAGAAAGTAAGGTTTCCATATTTTAACACGTTTGTGTTGTGATGATGATTGCGATTCCATATATTGTGCTGCTCTATACCTGCAATTTACTGAGATACATCTGAACGATGTAACTTGGAGCATTTTATACAGTGCTTATTGTATCTTTCCATGTTTTTACTACTATCATTAGAATAATAACGTTTTTGTTTACTGTTGCACTATTCCCCCACCTTCCTAAATGTAGAATAACTTGGATGTCTTGTGGTGGTCAGTAACTGGTTTGTGTGCTCCCTGCTCAGGTCTGTGCTGACGGTGGCCTGTGAGCAGACAGAGGTCCTCCTGTTTGACCCCATTTCATCCAAGCACATCAAGACCCTCACAGAGGCCCACGAGGATTGTGTCAACAACATAAGGTGCACTTCTCACATTTAATATCAGACATTTAGGGTTTTTAAAGCTGATCTGAATCACAAAGGGTCACTTGGAGAGAAAAAATTAAGATGGACGGATTTTTGTTCCTGCAAGAAACGCAGTTTTCAGCATATTCCTCACCTCTTTGCTTCCAAGATGTTGTTTCCACATTATTCAGAATATTTTTGACATTTCAAATTTTTTCCTCATCATTTTAACTTTTTATTCACGAGATCAAGTTTTGACTCAATTCTAGGTGTGGGCGTTTATTGTATCGTTTGTCACTAATCGTGATAAATTTCCTTTGATAATAAGAATTTTGATTTATTGTCACTATAAATTCCAATCAATGACGTATAAAAACCCCCAATGAAAATATCAACATATGATTAAATTCAGTTACCGTGTGCTTTTTAGTGACACAAGTCACACTTCTTTATGTGAATGGTGTCGTACAGAAGTGTATTATAAATGATTTTCAAGAGCAATATTTATGTTTGTGGGGCTATGAATGCTGACATACAGTCACAGCCATACAGTTACCTTTAAAAAAATTATAATTAATAGTTTTAATCACTTTTATTGTTATCAAATATTACCACAAAATATCTATATGATATCAATAGCTATAGTTAGTTCTTCATATTTTCAATATTATGGGAAAAAAAAACTTCACCTTTTTTTCCCCCTCCTATTGACCTTAATATAGTTTATATGTAAAAAGCTACTGGGTTACTTTTACTTTATTATTCGACCTGTACAGCACATTTCTGCATCTGAAGTTGATTTTAAATGTCTCCTAGATATGAATGAATGAATGAACGAGGCTCAAAGGCCAAAGGTCGGCTGAAACCGTCTCGTCTCTCTCCAGGTTTTTGGACAATCGCCTGTTTGCCACCTGCTCCGACGACACCACCATTGCATTATGGGACCTTCGTAAGCTGAGCTCCAAGGTCTGCTCGCTGCACGGCCACGCCAGCTGGGTGAAGAACATCGAGTACGACACCAACACTCGCCTCCTGGTCACATCCGGCTTTGACGGCAACGTCATCACATGGGACACCAACAGGTTGGTTGGGTTTGCATCGATTTTCAAAAAAATAAATAAAAAATTCATCAAAACATCCACTCAGTCCTATACTTTCCACTTTAAGTTTTACAATAAAAAAAAAATCTGATTTTTATTTATTTATATTGATTTATTTGTGTCACCACTGCTCAGAATGAAGTCCAGCTCAGTCAGTTTGGATGAAAAGTATCTATAAATCTATCAGTTTTGTAGTTTTATTGGTACAATTTGTTCTTTTTTTAAATTTATGGCTTATAAAGATTTTTGCATGGTATACATGGCAATTAAAAAAAGCTTAGTAATCATCTCTAAACTACAACATAATGGCTGTTTTTCAGTGAAATGCTTCACGTTCCATGTAGTCGGTGTAATTACTGCAAAGTTTTACCTTATTTGGTTGCTGAGGTTCTACAAGGAAGTTGTAATTTATTTAATTTTGAAATATTTATGCCTCTGAAAGTCTTGTGAAATCAACATCTTTCCCTTTATCACCTCTGTTAAGTAATAAGAGGAAGTTTAAGTTAGTTTAGAGATTCACAAAAAAGCTCTTTAGCAGAAAATGATCCTGTAAATATCTGAAATTTATACTTTTGACTCGCTCCTCAGGCCATTTTCTTTCATTTACCTCTTTTGTTTTAATCCAGACTGCATGTGTTTGATTATTGTCAATAAACTGAGTAACAAATGCCTTACAAAAAATTAAATTCCAACATGTTGGAGATGTTACTGTGTTGTTAAACGTAATAAACGTCCTCCCTTGCAGGTTTACGGAGGACGGCTGCCCGCACAAGAAGTTCTTCCACACTCGCTATCTGATGAGGATGCGTCTGACTCCCGACTGTTCCAAGATGCTCATCTCGACTTCCTCAGGGTACCTACTCATCCTTCACGACCTGGACCTCACCCAGTCCCTGGAAGTGGGCAGCTACCGCATGCTGCGAGCCCGACGGACCCCGCTCAGTTCAGGTCAGAACGCAGCCGTCGTTTAAAAACAAAAAGAACATGGAAGCAAATTTAAACATCTCCACAGTCCGCCATCCTTAAAAAGTCTGAAATGCGTGTATCTACAAGAAAGGCTTTAAAATGTCTCAAATTTATGTATTTAAAATTAAGGTCTTAAAATATGTTAAATTAATTGGAAAAAAATAATTCTGCCTTAAATATGTTTTCTTTTTCTCATGGGACTTTATTGTTGTGCAAAACTTTGAGGAGATCATAGACCTTTTCACTCCGTTTGCCGTTTTTGTTTGTACATTTATGTCATGATACAGGTCTTAAGTTTCATTCACAATGGTCTTAAAAAGTTTTAAATTTGTATATCTAGAAATAAAGGTCTTAAAATATTCCAAATTCATTCAGGAAAAAAAATAAGTTAAGTTTTCCTTTTTCTCGCAGAACCTTAATATTGCGCACAGACATTTTCATTGTAACTCAGTGAAAATGGTAACCAACTGCTGGTAACTAGTTGCTAAAAGCTAGCTTGCTTTTTAATGCCAATTTTTGCAATTATCATTACTATTATTTGTATACTTCTGTCATGATACAGAAGTATACAGGTCTTAAATTTGATTCATGATGGTCTTAAAACATCTTAAATGCATATCTAAACATAAGGCCTTTAAATATTTTAAATCAGTTGGGGAAAAATAAATCGGCTTTAAATATTTTCAGTGTTTTTTTCATGGGACTTTACTGTTATGCATAATGGTCTTAAAAAGTCTTAAATTAGAGTTGGTGAAACCTGCAGAAGCCATTTTTCCAGTGATTCTTAATCTGTTTTTACATAATTCAAATTAAACAAGTGAATTTAAAGGAATGGTATTTAAAAACAAAACAATAAAGTGGTTTTTTTTTTTTTGTTTGTTTGGGGTTTTTTTTTCTTACAGACGGAGGCACATCGGCCTCTAGATCGACCGTGACGCCCCGTCAGGGACACGACTCCAAGCTTCATCCTCACAGAGAAGGTCAGGGATGATCTTAGCCGGATGCTGATAGCCTAGCGTCACTTCGGCTTCCAGGACTGTGATCAAACTTCCTCTCTCCTCAGGTCTGTCCCCACGGAACAGCCTGGAGGTTTTAACTCCTGAAATCCCAGGGGAAAAGGACAGAGGGAACTGCATCACATCCCTGCAGCTGCATCCCAAAGGCTGGGCCACGCTCATCCGCTGCTCCAGCAACATGGACGACCAGGAGGTGAGGAACCTCTCACGCCGTCGCAAATCCAGATCTACTGCCTCGTAAAAGTATTCCTGACCTTCAACAGTCACTTAATTTGTGATTTAGTTCATTGGGTTTAATATAATCTCACTATAAAATCCAGCTGGTCCCTGAAAGCCTCAGAGGGTTTATTAGGGCAAATTATGGAACATCATGAAGACCAAACAACAGCGCAGCCGGGTTAGGGATAAAGCTGAGTAAAATGTAAAGCAGGGTAAGTTATAAAACATCTGTCTATGTGCAAAGGTAGAGATATACCAAAGAAACCTGGAAATGTCTTTCCACGGACAGTTTCTACTTTTTACATCTTCATGTTTTGAAAAATTCTTTCCAATTCACAATGCTTCACGAGAATGTGTTGACTTAGCACATAAAATGCTCAGCTTGATGGTTCTAGCATGACAAAATATGACAAAGTTAATTGGCACCAGTACTTTTTCAAGATGCTGCGTTTTTAAGCCACAGCAGTTAGGATGTAACCATCTGTTTTTATATCACAGCAGCTACAGCTTGATTTCATAATTCTCTAAAAATCTAAACAGAGTGATATAGCTCATTTGGCATAACCTTTATCGTCTAGATACCTCATACTTGTTCCTCCTTTTATTCTTCCTTTGTTCGCTTCCTCCAGTGGACCTGTGTGTACGAGTTCCAGGAGGGGGCGCCCACGCGGCCGCTGGTGTCTCCCCGCTGCTCCCTGCGCCTCACCCACTACATCGAGGAGGCCAACGTGGGCCGGGGCTACATCAAGGAGCTGTGCTTCAGCCCTGACGGACGGCTCATCTGCTCCCCGTACGGCTACGGCGTCCGCCTGCTGGCCTTCGACGAGCGCTGCAGCGAGCTGGCCGACAGCCTCCCCGTCCAGACCAGCTGCCTCCGGGAGATCCGCTCCATCTACTCGCACAGCGACGTGGTGCTCACCACCAAGTTCTCCCCAACGCACTGCCAGCTGGCCTCGGGGTGCCTGAGCGGACGCGTGGCGCTTTACCAGCCCAAGTTCTAGCATCCGCCGTTGTTTTAAAAAAAAAAAAAGTAGATTTTTTTTTTTTTTTTTTTTCTAAACCCGATCACTGCAGACCTGGGGAAACACGTACCGGTCTAAGCCGCTGCATATAACAGGGTGGAAATGCATCATGGAAGTGTTTTACAGACGGTTACCTTTTGCACATTTGTGCGCAGGATTTGCTAGAGCTAACCAGAGATGCACCGATCTGAGTTCTATTGCCAAGTTCTAATCTTTGCTATTTGTACAGCTTTAACCTGCCGATATCAACTTTAGTCTATTCCGATTTCTGTTTGAAAACTAATATATAGTGTAAGAAAATACAAGAACAGAATTCAGGATATGTTTCTTCCTTATTTACTTACCTTAAGCTGCTATTATTTATTTATATTAGGAGCAGAAACTATGTTTTGAAATAGTTTAACCATAGATTACAGCTACTTCTCTTTTACAAAACTAAAATTCTGGAGTTCACATTTTAAATGACCTTTAGCATTTTATAGAAGTGATTTGCATTACTAAACAGAAGCTGTATCCTATTCAGCCTTCCTGTTGTCTGTGAAAGTCTTGCTCTCTCTTGCTTTGCTGCAGCCTTTATGAACCTCAGACATATATTATACTTGGTTTCCTTTCTTACACCTCTTTGCTTCCTCTAAATTTTAAGCGCCTCACTGATTCTGAAACTAGCTAACTTTGAGTCTTCACTCAGTATAGCATATACTCTGAAAAGTATTTTGTGCAATCAGGTAGCACTTCCGTATGGTGCATTCACTGACTCAAAAAAGGTTGGATTTTAACGCGTCCTCCATTAGGCAAAAAAAAAAAAAAAATCGTCCAACAGATTCCTCGATGCATCACTACATTTAGCTTAAGAACGTAGCCCAACTACGTGACAACCCAGGTCTGCAGCTGTTAAACGGGTCGACTTTGTTTAGGTGCTAGCTGTCAAACTGACGGCCATTAACTGGCGTAAAGAAATGACAGACTGAAGCTCTGGGCTAATTGCCAGGTTGCAGCAGAGGATGGACACTTTGAGCCCTGAATTTAAAGACATGACATAGAAAAGCAAGCCCAAAATTCAAATACAAAGAAATTGCATTTTTGTTTTTGCAGACGAAACTTTCTGAACAGAAGTTCAATGTAATTCTTCATGGAACTTGACATCAGGCAACAGCAAACTGCTGGTCGTTTGTGGCTCCTTTAGTTGCTGAGTTACTTTTGGCCTCTTCAATAGAACATTTTTTCTTCTTCTTTTGAGACTTGGCACATCCAGACGTTGCCGTCTCAGGAGGACAACACTAACGGTGCAAAAAGTCAAGTATTGGTGAATCCGGGAGACGAACGGACTTTTGTGTACGCTGTCTGTCACGTTAACTCGACTTCCCGCGCTGCGCCTGGTGCCACTCTTTGCTGCTTCACTCATGCCTTCGCCACAGGTGCTGCTTCTGTGCTCATACAATCTGAACTTCAAGGACCTACTTTCCTTTATCTGCCTGCTGCTTGTGTTTGTTCCCAACATCTTATCTCTTTCCACTGTCCAGATCCTCTGTCGTTTTTAAGAGTTTTACTTGGTGTATCAATGTTGGCATTAATTGTTGCACAGAGTTTGATTTGATAATCACTTTAGAGTTGTTACTCTGTAATCACCTCTTTACTTTCCCCAAGGCTCATGCTTTTATCTTAAGTCTTTAGATTGAAACATCCGGCCACCTGGAAAAATGAGCAGTAGTCAAAAGGCGGTGAATATTTCTGCATCATTGCAACTCAGAGATGCATAGGTTTACCCTCCTGTGGTTTTAGCGCTACGCTCTGTAGGAGCAAAGCAGATGTCAAGTCTGACGGGGTTCTCCCATCACTGGCGCATGCACACACACAAATAAAAAAAATCGGAAAAGCGTGTGCAAGTTCAGCGTGACCAGCATGGACCACGCACCCGGTAAAAAGATGGCGGGGTCCCATTGACTCCATGTCTTAAGATCGCAGGACGGTTAAGAACTACTTTTCATTTTTACCAGCAAACATAATTTTTCCTAAATACATTTAGGCTACTTCACTTAAGTTAAAATGTTCCTAGAAGTTAATAGTTTTTATTAACAACTATTCAAGTAATATAAAATAGCACAACAGATGCTTACAAACATTTATTAAAAGCCTTAAACCAAATTACATATTTCCATTGAAAAATCTTGAGAAAAGTTTAGAAAAAATACTCTTATGTCTAGAAATATTTCCTACTACTCACTGAGTGTGTGGGCAAGATAAATGTTGATCTTCTAGAAATATTAGCCTACCATGTAGCGGTTAAAAGAAATGGATTTCTGTCTTACATTGTGTTTGTACCCCAAGCCAACAAGAAATCTTAAAAAGAATGAATAAAATAAAAAAAAGCTAAAGTTACATTAATTCTATGCTTTTGGAGGCGGAGGTGTCAGCAATCAATTGTAGCTAAATGCGTTTCAGCTAAAGGTTGGCATTTCCTCTAACTTTCGGTAAGAAAGGCAACTGCAATAAAGGGTTGACTTGTTTACCTCCCTAAAACATGTAAAGGTGTTTTACCCATTAGGGGTAAAACATGGTGGGTAAATATCACAACCTGATATCCAAACTATCATTCTCTGATGGTTTATATTAGAACCTGAATAAACTATCAGGTTTACTATCAGCAAACAGTCGGATTGAGTTCCAAGTGTTCATTAATGTCTTTTTACCGCCACCTGTTGGGAACAGCCACACACTGCAGCCATTTTTTTGTTAGTAAAACACTGTTACCGCACTGAATGACTCGAGGACACATTAGAAGTTAGATTACGGTAAAACTCTTGCTATGCACATCAGCCTTTCTGGTGATTCTCCTTTATTATTTCTGCTCTATGCTGAGCTGTCAGTTGCCAAAATATGATTTATGATGGATGAAAGTGAGCTGAGAACTTCTGCTGGTATAGATTAAAGAAAAGCTTCTATTTAGATTGACTTTTTTTTTTTGTTTTTTTGTAAATGTACTTTTCTCTGGCCTCTGAAGAGGGCGCTGTTGCACTCCCATTTATTCAGATTTTAAAATTAAAGGAAAAATGTGTGATTACAACTAGTTGATTTCAAGGGATTAAAAATCTGTGTTTAATCATTATTATAACATCAGAGTTGGGAGGGAAATGTGACTGAAGCCGTTTTGACCTGAATTTATCTTTCAGGTAAAGGTTTAAAAACGACACAAATTAGATTTCCAAGCTTCTCCCATTAGCGTCACGCCAGGATGCTCTTATACGCATCGTACCTCGGTTAGCCGCTTTCGTAACATGCAGTTCGCCATCAGCTCGGTCAGTCGTTCGGTTCGTCTAAACGCAGGCGTAAACATTTCGTAGCCACATTAACGGTGTCTCAACTGATCTGAGTGTGAAGGGATTCTGTGTTTCTTCCACTGCTTTTACTTCAGGTACACTCACGAGCTCTTTGAAGTGTCTTATCTATTTTCACTCCGTATATTTACACAGAAAAAAAACCTGGGTTTATCATGGTTTGTGTGTTATTTTTGATTGTTGTTTTGGATTTTAACGTGTATCTAGCCATGAGTTTCATGAATGTTCACACTATTACCTTTTTTTTTCTTTTTTCATGTGTGCACCAGTAAATGATGAAGGATGGGTAGGTGAAAATAAAACATGGTGAAATGCTTAAAGTTGCTTCCAGCATTACTATTGCCTATAGACAAGTACTCCAGGAACGATGGTTAGAAAGAACAAAAGGTGAGTTACTTTACCTCTACTGACTGCCATGTATTTAACTTAAGTATTTCTGTCTACATTGTTTTTGCTTTTTCTTTTGTCAGGACAAATCTGAAAAGTGTGGTGGTCATTTGTATTCTTGTAACACTTCCATAAAAGCCAGATTTATGGAGTGCACAACTAATGGTTGCCTTGCCAACAGATGAACCTACCAAGACATGATTTTACACTTAATTCAAAAGGAGAGCATTAAACAGGATGCCCCAGTTAATTCTGATGAAACAAACAGGATATCTAAAAAAAATAACAGAGAGAGAAGTATCTTTTTTTCTTTCTTCTTCTTTTTTTACAATGTCTTTTATATTAGACTCTTACATGCAGTCCAAATGTGTTAAAGACGGGTTTGCTTTGCTTTAGCACAGTGGGTTTTTTCGGGGGGTTTTTACTGGTACGCCTTGTTAAATTCTACATTTTCAAAGTATTAACATCTTTTTAGATGCTGCTCCATGAAAAAGTATTTACCCCGTTACACATTGAGTAGGATAACTTACTACCTATATCTGTAGGTAATACAGATATAGGTAGCGAGTCTGTAGAAAAGTGAATGAATCTAGTTTTTTACAGAAGTTTTGCTCAATTTTAATAGCTCAAAAATGAAAATATCACAGAAAGCTGAATAATGTATATTTCAAGTTGTTATATTTTGTCATTTATATGATTATGGCTTACGCTCAGTAAAAACCCCAAAATTGAATCTCTCAGTAAATTAAAATTCTATTAAATTTCCATGAATTGTATTACTACGTGGCATGGAGGCCATCAACCTGTGGCTCCGCTGAGGTTAATGGAAGCCCAGGTTGCTATGACAACAGCCTTCAGGCCATCTACATAACTCCATAGGCTCTCTGTGGGGTTAAAGGTCGGGAGTTTTCTATTCAATCAAGTTCAGTAATGTTCAGTAATGGTGGTATACTGTATTGAAAAAGCAGTACATGTTGTTATGACTGTGAACACCAGGGGGCGCCACCGTTTCGCGGACATAGCTGCAGCGTTTTTTTTTTCTGATTTTTTTTTTTTTTTAGTTAGAAACTGAAGGCTTGTGGAGCGGACCTGCATTGTCTCAGTAAACTTTTAGGTTTTTTTTTTAAGTAGGACTGAACACTTTGCATTTTATTAACATTCAACTGATACTTTACTTCTGAATCATTTATTATAAACTTTGACATTTTGCAACATTATCACATTTATTTGGGAGTTTGTTGTCCCCAATGCAGAAAGACAATGTGATATATCAGACCAGCTGACAGAGATTCACATTCTACTTAGCATACAAGAAAAAAAAGAACAAGGGTTGAAACTATCTGATTTTTTTTCTAATTATCCAGTATGTGTGATGTTTTATAAATAGCTCCATGCTCAGGTTTTGACACCCCTAAAACTTTTTTCACATTTAGCTACATTACACCCCCACAAACTAAAACTGTTGCAACACAAATCCTGAGAAATTACGCTTTTACGCACATATTTTACTCTTCCGTAACAGTAACTCACAATAGCAACTTTGTGTTGGTTCATCACATAAATTTCCCAATAAAATGCATGAAAGTTGTGACTGTATAGCGCAGTGTGAAAAAGCTTAAGTGATTTTGCAGGGCACTGTAAAAGTTTGTGTATTTTTGGATATTTGTTTTTTCTCGGCACAGCTGATCCTGCAGTAGAAGACAATTTTTCATTAAAATCAGTTACATTTCACTTAAAATTTTTGAAACCAATAATCCATTTCCATTTCAGAGTCTTCCTCGGCCCTTCGTCCTCTCCGATTCCTCTTGGTTCCTCAGGAGGAGCGCGCCTGCCTCGTCTGGCTCTCTCTGCGGCGGTTGATGGCCTTGGTGCTGGCGCGCAGCTTCCTCATCTGGAGAGCGCGGAGCCGCAGCTGCAGGTCCCTCGGGATCTTCTCTCCTTTGGCCCGGAGCTCCTTCAGCCTCTGTATGGGCGTTTTGGTGAGGACGAAGTCGCAGATCGTCGGATGAGGCTCCAAGCCGACATGGCAGCGACGCATGGACGGAAAGTATCCCTCTGCCCAAACGACCACCTTGTACTCGCCGGGGTTCAGCAGGCGCCAGTAGTCCCCGTCAGCGGCTGTACGAGGTTAGACGAAAACGTATAGGTTGGTGGGAATGTCTGGTGCTTTAACAGTGAAAACTGGAACATTTCACTGTCAAGCAGGAGAGATTGTGTGGATTTTCTGCGTAGCCGAGGATAATGTTGGAGTTTTAGAGCTCGCTTTACTGCTAGGTTCCAAAATTTTGCCAATTTTCCAATTGGTGTCAGATAATCTGGGTAGAAAGCTGCAGAATGTAACTTTTATTGCTTAATGGAAACACAGCAATTGAGAAATTGTGGTTTTTCCTCATTAGTGGAATACTGACAAAGTTTAGCATACATTTGTAATGGCTGACATCTCCAACACTCAGTCCTGTCACTGCCGGTGAATGTAACGTACATAAAAGCTCTCTTTGGGTAGAAATACAAGATTACAGAAAATGAATTTCTCGTGGGGAGGGAAACACTCCATGTTTCCACTTTGTGAAGCTAACGGGCTAAAAAACCCCAAAACATCTTGATATCAACAAATAATGTTCCTGAGCTTGATTCAAACTGAACGATAAATAGAGAGAACAACAAAAAAAAGTACATCTCCTATCACATTTTCATTTCCCCTCGTAGAAGGGAAGCTAAACAGCAGGTTGAATGAAAACTGCAGGACTGACCTGATCTGATGTCGTGGTCGTGGTCTTCCACCTTGACCACAGCGTTTTCTATTCCCTGTTTGGTGCTCTTGTCTCTGATGACGCCTTTAATTCCTCTGTGAACCTGAGTGAGGAGGAAACCTGGCGTTGAGGCTGGTGATGAGCTGCAGGCCCAGTAAGAAGCTCACACACACTCCTTCATGTTACACTCTTTGTATAACCATCAACAAGCTGCTTACTCCTGGTTAAACATTTGAACAATATGGAACCAACTAGGAATTTTGCTGTTATTTTTAAAGGACCGTTATTTTATTTCCATTTTTTAAAACCCCTTAACTGTCATGAAGACATGGGTGTCCTTAAGGATCAATCCACTAACATGTAATCGTTTTGAGGGTGACAGTTAAGGGGTTAAGTTTTAAAATGAAGAAACATTTAAAACTTTGTAAAAAAAAAAAAAAAGTTTTAATAATAATAACAATGTTGCTGTTATTTATGGAGATAACCAAAAAAAAATTCCACATACTAAAGAGTTGTTGAGACTGACCTGCTCCATGTAAATTAGAAGAGACTCCTTGTTGTTCTCCCACTCCACTGGAAGCTCACTGGCATGAGGGAACTTATCGCAGGACAGCTCTACGGTCACCTCCAAGCAGTTGGTGTGCAGGTAGCTGAAGTCGTTCATGCCTGCAGAAAAGACACAAAGTAAAAATATACCAAGCCGAGTCTAACAGACCATAATCTCAAATGGCGTAGTAATCTTTATAAATCCTTTGCCACCAAACAGGAGTTGACTGTATTTTCCGTCAGGAGGCTGATCTGAACATGACTGAAAGTAATTCTTATGGTTTGCTCTCAGTCCCACTTATGAAATAATGTACTAACATCCAACTATGCAGAAAGTCCTAAAATATGTTGCTAAAAAAAATCTTTCATAGCTTTTGGATTTAGTAAATGGAAATAATTTTGATAATCCTACCTGACCTAAAAAAAAGAAAAGATTAAACTAATCTTTTCTAGATAATTTTTTTTTTCTAGATTCTAATCTCAGAAATTCTATAAAAATTTTCAGATTAATTTCTAAATTTAGGAGTTTTTTTGTTTGTTTTTTTAAGCAAATTTTCAACTTTTCAAACTCGGAAATTTCAAAGTTTTTTGGCGATAATTTACTCTTTTCTTTTATCTACAGTAGCATTGCATTGTGGTATTCACTTTTTTTTCCTGCACCACGCAAAAGAAAATCTGTTTTGCTCCTGAATTAATGGTGAAAAAAACTGGACTTTTAACCAATTTACAACTTCTTCAGTGACGTTTTGTCTGTTACACTAAACTAAAACCAGACAATCCTCTTAACTTCCCTACTCAGCACCGGGTTTTTTTTTTTTTTTATATATCTCCAGTGACTCACTGCCTGGGACCGTGTGCCAGGCCCCGCCGTTGATGATGTTGTTGTGCATCTGGAAGTCTTCGTAGTGGCAGATGCGGCGGTCCGGGTTGGCCAGCACCAGGTGCGTGGAGGCGTACACGGTGGCCAGCCAGCGGAAGAAGGCGTCGTCCGCCGTGGGGGTGTTCTCCTGAGGTGCCCAGTCGCGAGTGCAGTCGAAGGGATACGTGACGACCAGCTCCCCGCCGTGGAGGTTTGCGCTGAGCACGAAGGGAATGTCCTGCATCCAGCTGATGACGGCGCGGGTCTCTGGCGCAACCTGAGCAGCGGCGGAAGACGGTATTAGCATTCTCAAGCTAAGTGGGGCGGAAAAAAAGAGAGAAAAGAAACTGAACTTTTTTATTTTATTTTTTATATATATATATATATATATATATATATATATATATATATATATATATATATATATGCTGATCTTAAATGGAAACCACAATTATTCTTTCTGCTCGAAATGACAACATTAGGAGTCGTTTTCAGGTTTTCCGGTTTCTTTTACTTGGAAAAGATTCAGCAGTCAATTTCTATAAACAGGGAAACTGACTGAGCAGGATTATACTCAGGAAAACGTCTGGCTCTTGGC